AGTGTATGGATAAAATATGATTTTTGTATTACTATTATTTTAATTCAAATTAATCAGTGAAAGTGATAACAAATTATATTATAAGTGAAAAAAACAAACAAACTTGGACTGGGTCTTGAACCCAGGTATTTTAGCTAATAGGGCCACTGCTCTATCCAAAGCTATTCAAGAGTACAAGCCTTCCCATTTCTTTTCACCCATAAGGCTTTTTAATTATGATTATGGACTTTGTACTATTTTGTGTTGTATTGATCAGGCAATTATGGTTTGATTTATCTCTACCCAGCCAAATCGTGAGTGTAACTGGACTTACATATGTATATTATTATTTTAATTCACATTTTCGACCAATGAAATTAAACTTTCTAACAAACATTACTGTAAATGGAAAAGCTGGTAAATGAAAAGAAACTCCAGGACTGGAGCTTCTATGATCCAATGCTCTGTTATGATTCACTAAGCAATCCAGCATCATTAGAGCTTTTCACAGTATATACTAAATTATAATTTTCATTGTCTTGTGTATCAATTAGATCTTCAAACGTTTTCCCCATTGCATCACCAATATGATGTCCAAAAGTATGATTGACATAAAAAAACAGCATTTTGTAAATTTGTATGTTCTATGATCCATTGTTCTTTGAAACAAGTGATAATTAGACCTTCTAACATTTTCACTTTTGAATCACCAGTATGTCTTTCAAGAATGTGCTTGACATTAAGAGCAGAATTTTGTAAATCCAAATGTTCTGTGATCCATTTTTCTTTGAAACCAATGAAATTGTTGAGCATGACTAAGTAATGGATGTTACAGAAACAGCATTGACATGTGAAACCTGACTTACTTAATGATTTGTATTTTGATCATGCTTTCTTCATCAAGTGAACAAACCCATCATCAGTGGTAGTTATATGCTATTGGTTATCCATGCAGTAATTTTGCCAACAGCAGAGTGGGACTTTTCTTCATGATGATCATAACCTACATGATTTGTTCATTGGTAAATATTTCAAAAGGCTACTCTCCGGCCTTTAATTTCAGATCCAGTAGCTACAAAATTACAAATCTCCAATATGAGACTGTGAAATATGTAAAGTTCATTTACCAAGTGTTATCACAAACACAACATCTTGTTCATGTTAAAGCTAGTTTTGTGTGAGTTCTGCATCAGAATTACATTCACTGAGTCAAGTTTGTTTCAGAACTATGGAGAAACTGTGGAGCAGAAGTTCATGATTGTACATCCACCATGGACTCAATTATAACAAATTTTTGTTCAACTACCAAAAAGGGTTGGTGCTTGACCCTGAAAGTTTTGGACATTCTGCTACCCTGACTAGGAGATTAGTGTATGTAGTGCAAGGATAACTCAGTGAATGTTTTGTTTGTTCATTATTGTTATGAAAATGTTTGTTGACATGTTACAACATAGTCAGTCCACAAAAACATTTTTGGTCCTTTGTTAAAGTATTATTTACAGTTGTAAAAACTGTAGACAGGACCTAGTATAATGTTAGTATTCACCTGAAGTTATTATATGATCCTTTGTTAATGTATTATTGACAGTTGTTGTCAGATATGAAAGACTGCTTAGTGTAGGTATTATTAATTTATTTATTTTGTGAGTATGATATTTTATGATTGTTTAGTTTTTAATAACAAGAGAGTTAAAAGCAGTTATTTTAAAGGCAATAGTTGTAGTAAGTTTGGTTACATAACTTGGTAAAAATCGTACATGTTTATAATTCATTACTGTTGAGGCTATTGAATTTTGTGTGCAATCCATTGATGTTCAGGATATAAAGATGGAACGAAAAAAAAGGAGACAGAAGAGAAGTAAACGTCACGAAAGGAAAGAAGAAGATACAGTAAAGGTTTAAGAAAGTAAAAGTTAATACGTAGTTAATACCACCACAGGG